TCTTCTTCTACATATTAAAAAAGTTGTTAAACATCTGAGTGGCGCACTACTGCTACTAGTGGTGAGAAAGTGTATTGCACCTTATTCAAAACCAGTGCGGTCCCATGGCCCAACGTTAAAAACTGTTGTTCTTTTGAGGCCCGGGCCGCGGCCCATAGCTTAAGAATCTCTGCTATATGATAAATTTTATATTTTTTTTTTATCCAAACAATCAATGATTTATAAAAGTAAATCAGGAAAATTAACAAGGCTGCCCAAACTTTCACACCCACTGTATCTACCTTGTGTCTGTATAAGATGAACATCAGATTTGCTGCTATCCTTGTGTGAAAAACATTCTCTGGTTTTCTGCCTCATGTTTGGCCCATTTGACAAGAGGTTGTTGGTGCAGCAGCACCACGGTGAGGGCTGTAAACCACTATCAACACCCTGTCAACGTGCTGCGAATTGAACACGTTTTGTTTTTCAGCTGGGGTTCGACAGGCAGCTCTGTCCAGCAGCAGATCCTTCAGAGGCTGTATGAAGAACCTGAAGATCACCAAGGCCTCTAAGACCTGGGCTGTGCAGTTCAACAAGGCCGTCAGGATTAAAGGAGTACAGCCTCTCTCCTGCCCAGCTGCATAACAGCACCACCTAACCAGCCGTGTCCTGGAAAACAAGGAGTTTAATGCATTTTAACAAAGCGAAGCCCAAAACAGTTATCTTTTTATCACTCATTGGTCTAAAGTGGTTAAAAAAACAGTTTCTCAGCTGTGATCACTCCCAGAAAAACCCTCCTGTTGAAGGTTTTAACTTAAATACATAAAAAAAACACTTGAAATGTTCTCTTTACTCCAACACTGTTTTATCTGTAAAATCATCTAATCAGAATTCGTTCAATAAATGTGTAATGGCTTCAGCATTTCCTCCTTCCTTCCACCTGTTGGACCCACCGGAGATGATCAGTTATGGCAACACATTTTACCAAAATGTCCTGTTTCACTAAGCAACATTATTCTGTCCTTAATAACTGAAGATGTTTTGGAGTACTGACTGGTTTTACTTGTTGCTCCCTGCACCTGTGATTTGTGTCCACTAGAGGGCAGTGTTGACCTGCTCCAACAGCAGATCAGAGTCTGATGAGTGAAGCTATAAACACCAGTACTTACCCAGAACTCCTGCAGCCGTTGTAAGTCCTGGCAGAATTAAACCTCCATGTTTGGGTGAAACAAAAAGGCTCCATGTTCTCTTTTGTTGTGCATTCCTGTTTTATTATTGTGGTCCTCTTTACAGAAGGGTGAAAAGATGGTAAGCAGCTGCCTGAAGTGGAATGTTTAGAAGACGGAATCAAACCGACCACTCATCAGTTCACAGCGACACGGCTGCTGCTCGTCTCTGAAATGTGTTTAATCAAATTATCTGATGAATCTGTGAAGAAGATATAAAGTGAAATTGTGTATTTGGACTATTAACACTGCAAAAACGGTCCATGTTACCAAGTTTTAAAATCTTATATCAGCCAAAAAGTCTTTTTGAGCTTGTTTTGAGACTGATTTACTAAACAAGAATTGATTGTGTAAGAATAATCATCTTGTTTTCAGAATGTGTAAGATTATTTGTCTTGTTAGTCTGAAAATTTGACTCAAATTAAGTCAAAATTTTCTGCCAGTGGAGTAAGAAAATTTTACTTGCTAAGATTTTTGAAATAAGAAAAAAATGAGACAAATAAAGTATTTCAAGAAGTCTAACCAAGTAAAATTTTCTTACTCCACGGGCAGAAAATTTTGACTTAATTTGAGTCAAATTTTCAGACTAACAAGACAAATAATCTTACACATTCTGAAAACAAGATTATTATTCTTACACAATCAGTTCATGTTTAGTAAATCAGTCTCAAAACAAGATCAAAAAGACTTTTTGGCTGATATAAGATTTTAAAACTTGGTTAGGTGGATAGTTTTTGCAGCTACACCAAATTCAAGGTTTTCTAAACGTCAGTCAGCACCTCCTCACTGCACGGTTGGTGCAGCTGGTATCACATGGACTCCTCCTACACTGAAGGTTTTACTGCAGGAAACTGTTTCCTCCTGGTGAAGTGCAGTAAAACACCTTCAGCTTTAACCCAAGTCTGTTTGACGTCAGTCAAGACATTCAAGCATTCTATGTCTATATGAACTGAAAATGAAGCATTAACCCTTTCAGCTACCTTATTAACGTTAGAGAAATCGAGCTGCGTGAGCCCGATAACTTCAGGTTGTTTTTTAAAGAAAACCTCCAGAGTCAAAGTGAATCGATTAAACCGTAACAGCACAGTCCTGGTGTCTCCTGACTTATTGCATGCTGCCGGTCTACTCCAACGTGTCGAAGGTCAGATCCAAGAGTTCCAGTCTGAGCTTGTTTCAGATCCTCATCCACTCCCACACAGCCAAGAGTCCCCGTCCAGCTGCTACCCGTTCGTCCTGCTGCAGATCCAGACCTCGTCAGGACGACTGCATGAGGCCCGTGAGCCGTTTGCCCGTCAGGGACTTGCCCTGGAAGCAGAACAGAAAGATGAAAGGAGCAGCTGTCCGGATCTTTCATTTGAAAAAATAAAAGCCTCACTTAGACAGAAGAAACTGAGAAACACATCAGTTTAAAAAGAAGCTGCTTTGTGCATCAAAACACCAAACCTTTACAATGTTCTGCAGTTAATCCCTTTAATTATAATGTGCAGGGCTCTGCAAGCTTTAAGAGCCATTTCTGCTCCTTCAATAATAAAAAGTGTCTCTGCGATGGTGGCCCATTATAATACTAAACATTTATAGCTAATTTAAATTTGATTATTTTTAGACTTTAGGACCAAAATATGTAAAAGCCTTTACATATTGAGGAAACACTACAACTAAACTGCAGCCATGAAAGATTGGAGAGAAAACTCGTACCTTAAAGCAGGACGTTGGGTTATTAAAGTGGCTAACAGGCTAGCATGATCTAATCCTGTTTCACTCTTTGTAATATGGATCACATGTACAAACACATCGACAGGAAAACTGATAAAAGAAACTTCTGTTGTGAGCAGAAAACCCAAAATGTTTTTCTGATGTTGGTTTTGTTCAGAGCTCCAAAGGGCCGATGCAGACGGACCAAAGAGCCACATGTGGCCTCAGAGCCGTGATGATGTCACACTATTAAATGTTATTTCTAAAAGCATTTCATGCATCTTGGACAAACGCTTTGGAATGAACCAGAGGATTTCTTTAAACAACTATTAAAAATATCCTTTGGAAACAATTCAACAGTAAACAATCAGTAAAAATACAAAACTTGTGCAGCAAACTTTATGAAAGTTAAAAACATTGAATCTGTAAAACTGGCTGTAATAACCAGCCCTCCTTTAAAGGGATCCCTGATTAGTTGTAACATTACACTTTATTTGATAAATATGTTTTAACTGTAAAATAAAAGACAGTAAAAATACTGTAGGATGTTTAGTTTTTAAATTTTTCAAAATATATTTTAAAACGGATGGGGCCATTTTAGATCCACACAAAGCATTCTGGGTAAATGATGACGTGGATAGGTCCTCGGTGCGAGGCTGCTAGCGAGCTATATCCACCCTGAAGGTTAATCTTGGAC